TGTACTTTAGAAACGAAAGGATAAAAAACCCATCGAATTGTGAAATTTTTGTCTTTAACTAGCAGCATGTGTTGCGTTGTTTTCCCTTGATAGTTTGTTTGCTTTTGTGTGTCTGTGTATTTGTGTGATGCTGTACTTACAACATTTATCCTCCTCCTCCTCTTGCATCTTGTATATGATGTAATAAAATACACAATATACATTCTGCCTTATTCTTAAAATATGTTTGCTTCTGTTTGTTTATTTGTTTATTTATTTGGTGATGACAAGAATAGAAAACTTTTCCCAAATTATTCGACGGCTCTGTGTACTGTTGGATTGATTGTAGAGTAAAATAGAATGGATATTTCGGTGCTACTTGTGGTAATATGTCACTGTTGTTTTTTGTTGTTGTTGTTGTTGTTCGTTTTCAATTCCATAAAGTAGATAAAATCTCTTACTGTGATTTTGCCTAATTTTATCAACTAAAGACCAGTGAGGTCCAATGAGATGTCACGTGTGTGGATTGGATGTCCCACCAACGACAATGGTTGGGGTCGCGCTAAATCACGAATTGGTAGAAGTTAGAATTCATGAGCCATTGAATCGGGTCCCAGTGGCTGAATGGTATGCGAGCTTGCTGGCCTTGTAACCGGAAGGTCCTTGGTTCGAATCCTGGAGGTGGGTGCGTACTGCCGATGATTCCAAAAACTAGGATGAAATAGAAGCTGTCCAGTACTCTAACTGATATCAATCCGTGATCAACTCGTAAAAACATAACTAACCCTTACAAACCAAACTATAGACAACTAAAGAATATATTATTATTATTCTCTTGAGCTTCAACAATACATTTCCACTTTGTTCTATTTTCTGCTGTCCTCTTCATTCGAGCCTACGATTACCCTTAATCACTCGTCTCCTCCTCGCACAATCTCCTCAATGTTACCCTCTCACTGACAGCCCACTCGTTGCTTCCCAGTGGGGTTCCAATGGAGTGATGGCCTTATGCGTGATGTCATTCGACCCATCTCCATTTTCTTATACATGTGAGAAATTATTGGATAATGATTAACAGTGGAATTTAGTATGTGCATATTTCATCTAATTTTGGTAGTCGTCACCTGAGTGTATCTTGAATCCCTTTTGAGTGACTGATGGTGCTGCCATTGATGCTCGAACCTAACAGCTATCACTTCAAAAGCCAGAGCGTCGTTATCCACTAGGCCACTTGTACCACGATAGCTGTTTCTTGTACAACGAGTATCAGTTGTATCAGTTTACTGAAGTCAGTTTTGCTTTTTCAATTGATTGACTGGACCGAAATGTTTGGCCACAGTTAACGTATCGGCTCCTAGTACACAGACTTCAATAAATAATAACCGATACCTTCTGAACAAAAAGTGACTCTTGTGGCCCAAGTGACTAACTGACTGACAGGAGAGCTTCTTGTGCTCTTGAAAGTGTGTGGGCGGTGGTTACATCCCGGATACAAACATCATGGAAGTTGGGTTCTTTTGCGAGAGGGGGTACCTGAAATATAAAGAGAATTAGTGTTGCGTGACCGTAGAGCCCAGGGGATAACTGCTTGAGGCCAGTTGCATACGGCCTCTTTGAATTGGTTTTTTAAGATTTGTTTCCGTATTAGTAACTTACCGCCCGCTACGGACCACCGTAGGATAAGTCGGGATGTACAATTTTCGGGGTCGACCTTTTCTAACCTCTCTCAGCTCCACAGTAAAGAGGCAGCCTACCTGGTATGACAGTCATCTGAGGGAAACACTCTGCTGATGTGACATCCTTTTTCCCCAGAGCTACGACTTTTCCCAAAGACCTGTAGCATAGTGTAGGCATTTTACTCTATACTGGTAACTGCTTTTATTTATTTTATTTTATTTTTTTTTATTTTTGATTTACAGCTTGATTCCACACTGTATTTTCGGTACAAGTATGGAATTTTCAGCATGGATATCGGTAGCCCAAATTTTGCAGGCCGACCATAGATATCAGGTGTGCGCCGGCGTGGGCTCGAACCCCGGACCATGTGCATGGTCGGCGAGAGTCCTAACCACTGTACCACCGACGCAGCAGCTATCTTAATAACCTTTTTAGCAGGAACAATAATCCCAGTCAGCGTAGCATTTTAGGTCATTGGGATATGCAAGCCTGACCACCACTACGTCAAGGTAGCAGCTATTAGTCGGGCGGCCCAAGTGGTCTAGTGGATAAGAGTTTGGCACGTGAGACGAATAAGTATTGGGTTCGTGTTTCAATGAGAACACCATCACTCAAGAAAGGTTGAAGTTACATCTGGTTGACGTGTCCGAAATAGGGCGAATTCGTATACTGAAAATTCCCCTGCTAGTCACTATAACACCAAATAAGATCATGTTAATCCTCAAACATCGGATAGTCCGTACTAATGACTGGCATGGTAACAGAGGTAGTCAGTTAATCAACGGGAAAAACAAAAGTGTGACTTGAACGAAGAATACCTTAATTGGACTTGTTAACGGAGTGTTTGTTTTTCTTCAGTTCGATTTCTGTGAAAATATTAGGATTGGTTGATGTTTCGAGATAAAAAAAAAAAAGAAGTTAGATAACATTTTTTATCGAACCTGCAATTGCTTAACTTACACTGTTCTGCCTATGATAGCTTTGAAAAAGTGTAGATACATGCTCAAATCATTTTCATGATATATTCATTGTATTCCACTGCACGTACTGATTGATTTATGGATAGCCGTGGTGAATGAACCATGGTTACAGGTCTTTAATAATACATAATACGCCTTTGAGTTTTTGATTGGTGATAAATAGATAAATAAATCCCTGTCTCTATCTCTCTCTCTCTCTCTCTCTCTCTATATATATATATATATATATATATATATATATATATATATATATATATATATATATGGACTAAAACGCACGAAAGTATAAAGTATACTTAACGGATTAGCCTTTTTTATATATCCTAGTAATTATTGTTTGTTAACTTTTTCTAACATCAAAATTGTTTTGCTATAAATTTACCTTTAGCTCGTCCATAATTATTTACATACTCGTTTTTTTTTATCAAGAGCACTATTAACAATAAATAATTTGATTTTATGTGTAATGTAATCCTGTGTATTATCGTGTGTACTTCTTTGCCTAAATTGTTGTTCTTTCTTATCTCAATTAAATCGCTGCTCAGTATATATATAAAAAAAGCAAAATTAGCCAACTCACTGTATCGTATGTTTATTTTAGATTATCCAGTATTAGTGTAAACAATAATTTTCAGTCTCCCTGGGAGTTGTGTTGTTATTTTGTGTAAATTTCTTCACAAACTGAAATTAGTTAGAGAAAAACCGACACTATTGGACAGTAGTATCCCTACTGAGCATCTAATCCAAGACCCTTAGATTGTGTTCCTGGTAGGTAACGATTCAGTCGCTCACTGAGTGGCAGTCCAGTGATTCATGAATTCTTACTGCTTTTAATTGGCGATAATATCATCCACCACCACTAATCAGTGCCGTCAGTGAATATCTGACATGGTGGACCTCATGGATAACAGTTTTCCATGAGGTCAACAGCAGTCAGCATAAAAAATAAGATCCGGATTTTCTACTCCAATGTGAAGTCAGTGCTACTATACGGATCAGAGACTTGGCGCGTCATAAAGAGTATCTCAAGTAAACTACAGGCCTTCATCAACAGTTGTCTTCGCTCAATACTCAAGATCAGATGGCCAGAAAAGATCAGCAACAGGGATCTCTGGGAGCAAACCAACTCAGCAGGAACCGATTGTGAAACAGATATCCTGGAAGAAATGAAGATGGATTGGCCATACTCTAAGGAAACCACCAAGTGACATCACTAGACAGGCTATCGCTCGAGTGGAGCCCGAAAGGGAAACGGCGAGTTGGTGGTCAGTGCGAGGGTGACTTGTAGGAGGTCATATGAAGAGGAGATGAAAGCGTGTGGGCAGACTTGAAGCGGGTTGAAAAAGTTGGCAGAAAACCAAACGCAATGGAGACTCGCGGCTGAAGCCCTATGTTCCTCTTGGAATTAAAGGATAAAACAATGATGATATGTGCTTCTCACTGCGGTGAGAGAGTGCTAAACTTGGACCAAACAGCTGACACTGTCCTTTAGTTTTCAGAGATTATCTAACGGATATCGGTTTGTGATGAAATCTAGAAATTGTAATTAATTAAATCCTTACACACTGAAAGTCTAAATCAGTTCTGTTGTAGTCAGTCACTTAGCTGAAATCTAACCACTCATGTTTGTCTACAAACTTCAACGGCTTTTCCCAGTGATCAAAATTAGCTAAAAATGAATCAATCATTTTTCACGAATGGTAGAGCTGAACAATTAAAGCTCCGTAGTATGCCGTTTCATATATGTTGATTTATATTATCCTCTATATCTCACTAACATGGACAACATTGTCATTATTATTACTGTTCCCTTGGGTTTCGAGTGGAACATAGGGGTTCAACAGCACATCTCATATTCTATCCTCCTATTCTCTGTAGTTCTTTTTATCTGGCCCCACGGTCACCCATAGTCTGTCGTCTCTTCTCACGATCTCCTCCATGTCGCCTTCGGACACCCAACTTGTCTTTTCCTATTCGGGTTCTACTCGGCAGTCTCCTCAGAGTGTGCATAGTCCATCTGCATTTTCTTCGTTATATTTGTTAAGCAATAGGTTCTTGGTTGATCTGTTGCCATAGTTTCTTGTCGCTAATGTTCTCTAGCCATTTGATCTTCAATATGGAGCCAGAGAAGGCAGCAGTTGGTATTTAGCCTGTTAGAAATGCTTTTCAAGGTGCGTTGGCAAAGTTTTAGCTCATGTAGAAGAAGTGATTGACTTAACATTGATGTTAAAAATTCGAATTTTGTAACATGAACAGTAACGGTGGTGTATTTATCATAATATTTTTCTGGTACCATACTCTATTTTGGTGTTTTGTGTTATTTAAGGTTCTAAACTGTCATTTATTCATTTCATTTGTGTACAGTTTGACTATGGACAACGTCTACCTTCATTAGAAGGCAGTTCAAGTGCTCCAATAAGTAAAGGTACACCGAATTTGGCGTCACACTCAGTTTTTGCATGGCAGCCGTTTGGAAGCACATCAGTTCACAATCAGTCTCAAGCTTCATCCTTTCATGGTCAACCTGGACACTTAATCCCTTTAATCCCAGGATCAACTACGGCTTACAGTGGAATGGTCAGTTCCTCTCCTATTAGTTCACTGCCGACAACAACTGATTTAATTGACTGTCATCAGAAGAATAATTCACACTATGCATATTCTGCTAATTATTCTAATTCCTCTGCATCAAATAAACCTCGTTCTATTGTTTTAAGTCCTGCTACCCAATCTGGATGTTGTCCTTCTGAAGTACAAAATCTACGCTTAGGAATGCTCTTACCTAATTCTCATTCCCCAACAACCGCTCCAGTACCAATTTATGCACCTCCGCTAACATCTACCAGCACATCTAGTTCAGCACCTCATCAGGCCTTTTGTTCTCCGAATAGCTCTTCAAATTCTAATTTATTCAACAGTCCTCCAGCCATGGCTAACCATCCTGTACAAGATCCTGCTAAAGTTGTCAGTCAAAAACAACGTTCAAAAAAAGAAAGCCATAATAGAAGTGAGTTGATTAATCTTTTAAAGATTTCTTGTGTAATATAATAAATAATAAGCGTAATTTTCAGCTTATGTGATAGCTTTGTTGTTGTCACCTATGTCTAAATTGAGTTTGTTTTTTAAATAACATGGTAGAATGAAAGATTGAAGAAAAATAATAAATAATAAGAGAGAACTAGGTATATATAAATGGTGGGTAAAACTAAAAAGATAAGCTACTTTGTTGTTCAGTTACATGTCGTACACAAATGTATATATATATAAAACCGAACATCTTGTTTTTATTCAAAGCTTTTAAATAACTTCTATTTGCTTTATTTTAATTTTCGTCTCCGCTCTGGCGATTCAGAAAGTTAACACCATATATGATCCGTTCAAGTAGAATAGTAGTGCATCGGTGGCATAGCGGTTAGGACGCTTGCCGACCATGCACATGGTCCTGGGTTCGATCCCCGGCCACTGGACGCATTCCTTTACCTCGCTAAGCCAAAAATAATGCTGGTAAAGAGGAAAGGTTGGGCATGAGGTGGCTAGCAACCCGATCCTGTAAAAATAAACACTGCTACATCAACTTCAAGCCACTAGCTTGAGGCCCTATGTTCCACTGGGCAACGTGAAGGAATTTTAAAAAATGTATAAAAAAAAGTAGAGTAGTCAAGATTGTCGATTGCAATTACTATTTGATTTTTAAAGGACGATTTCTTTGTATTTCTTTCGCATCAAATTTTCCATTGCATTTGCAAGTTTGAAGTACTAAGAACACTCAGTCTGCATTATCACTAATTCAGAATACCGGAAGTAGTATATATACATATATAGTCAAGACCTTGCGGTTCATATTGAAAACAAATGAAGCGAAAGATTATAGGGTAGTTGAAGTGATAAAGCTACAGGGGGTCGAAGTTGACCTATAGCTGAGGGCCTGATACTGTTGATAAACCAATTCAAAAAGTGAAGCCTGTTGTATTAAAGCTGATTTCTTGAAATGCATATATATGTACGACTAAAGTTTACACATGCACATTTTTTTAATGGGAAATAACCATTAATGCCATTGCACTTACTTAATATAACAGACAATATTTAGGTTAGGCGTAGTGTTAGGTAAAGGCAGTTAGCAGATCGATGAGGTTGTGAAACTAGCTACATTGATTGACATAGCTAGGACAGGTGCTGTGAATGCCAAGCTACCGTGTTCTTTGACGAGCACTGATTAGCTGACATAGGGTCAGGTTGGAAAAGAGCTAGCGGCGGTCAAACCAAAACATGACACCAGCCAATGAAATCCACAACAGTTAGTGTAAGCCAAGTAGGATGGTGTAGACTTCCTGGTTGGGGTTCTCCAGACGGTAAAAACCAATGTAGGCTGGAGAGAATCGGTGATATGGCTCAAAATCGTTCTTAGCGGCCGGCGCAGATGCATCCACTCCTTGTGACTTGTCATTTCCAATGAAAATATATTGTTCTTCGTTATTTCTTTTGTCTCATATCCCTGTCTAATGTCTCTATTTTTCATTTCTTTTTACTTTTTTCTTCTCTGGCTTTGTGTGCTACATGGAGGGAGTGTGGCGACTTGAACAGCTGCATATAGGTGGAAAGTTCTATGTCGAAAACAAACAGACAGATATGTAGACTGTCTGCTTTAGGGTCCTCGAGATGCTAAGATCCAATGTTTGCAGACTGTCAGTGATGATATAGTTCAAAGTCGTGCTTAATGGAGTCTGTCTGTCTGTCTGTCTGTCTGGATTCAACATAGAACTTGTCACCGAAGTGCAGCAGTTCGAGTTGTCACGTTCCAAATAGCACACAAAGGTAGACAAGAAGATAAGTGAAGAGAGAGAATCAATAGAGTTTGACAAGTATACGAGTGAAACAGAATGAGTAATGGTAGAAAGGAATATGAAAGATTACAGAGACTGAATACATCTGCGCCATTGACAACGATTTTGAGCCATGTCACCAATGGTGGGAGACAATAGGTGACATGGCTCAAAATCGTTGTCAATGGCGCAGATGTATTCAGTCTCTGTAATCTTTCATATTCCTTTCTACCATTACTCATTCTGTTTCACTCGTATACTTGTCAAACTCTATTGATTCTCTCTCTTCACTCATCTTCTTGTCTACCTTTGTGTGCTATTTGGAGTCGATCCATTCAGTCTTTATGATCTTTTGAATCTATTAAACCCTCATACTTTTCTGTTTTACTACTTCTTTTTCTGCCGCATATTTCTCCTCGTTAGTGTATTCCTTTTGAATCTCCTTTTTTTGATTACACGTTTCTGTACAACATGGAGTGTGTGTGACTGGCTACTTGATGAACTGTGCTGCATTTCTGTGGATGTTGCTACTAAGTTAGTCAGGCAGGCAGTCAGTCAGTCATTCACCTTCAGTGTGATTTCAATTTATTTTTGTTTTAGTTAGAAATATTTAAGTGGCACTTTGTTACTTTTACTGTTGACAGTAACCATTTCTTTGTCTAAAAATTATTAATAATAATAAAGCGGACTCTTTTCACAATTGATGCCTCTTCTTCAACATTCTTAGAATGCGAAACAAATAATAAAATAAAATAAATTTTCTCATAATATTTCAAAATGTTTGTAAAGTTAGTTAGCTAAAAGTTCTCCTTTTTTAAATAGAAGTTAGTAGGGCTCTCTATATTATAGTTGTCTACTATAAACAACAATAATTGTGTCGGTCACTTAATTTATTCTTCTTATTTTATATTTTTTGGCGTTACTCTCTCCATTAGAGCCATCAAGTTGAACAATTTTTTCTTAATTTTGATTTGTTTTGATAATGATCGTGTTAGTTGTTGTGTTTTTGCTTACTGTTTTGGAGAATAATGTAGCCTTTAAAACATTACCACCATCACCACCACCAACTCTTCTCTTGCAGTTTAGTTATATTAAGCAAAATAACACAGAGAAAGAAAGAAAGAAAGAAAAACAAACAAAGAAACTAGCAAGACCCAACAAAAAGCAGATAATCTAATCACTGTCCTTTAGTATTATTATTATTGTTATTATTATTACTATTATTACGCCGTCAAACATTTACTAGAAAACAACACATTGTTATGCTTATGTCATCCGGCAACTGTCAAATGAATGGAGAAAAACAAAACAATGACTAGTAATAGTAGTAGTGGTACAATATCTTTGCCAACTTGAAATTTTGAATAGTGTTGCCTTGTGTGTGTGTAGTTTGGTGTGGGGGGGGCACACTTCAGTGGTGCGCGTCTGTTGATTTCTTCTTTTTCTTCATCTTCTCTTGATTAGGTATTCTATTCTACCCCCTGTATATGTACTTGTGGTATCCATCAGCACAGAAATAAATCACTTCACACACACATGCTGTCCCCCCCCCAACTTAATACAAGCATTCACACTTAAGCTTATCACTCACTTAATGAAATAGATGAGATGATATGAAGACAATGAGTTTGATTGAGTGTATATACATAGAGAGTGACAAAGTAGCCCATGTTTTGATAGTTTTTCTATGTGAAAGAACTTTTAAATCCAGTAGTGCGTGTTGTGTGTGTAACTAGACCAATTGTGAATAACTAAGAGGCACATACAATTTATAGAAGTACTTATTTTTGTGTTTTTTGTTTTTGTTTAGAGTTTCAAAATCCATTGAAGTATTCACCATCTATCTTTTTCTTTTCAAAAAAAATAAAAAATTATTTCCTTTCTATAGTTTGGTTTCTAAGGATTAGTTATGTTCTACGAGTTAATCACGGATTGATATCAGAGAGCCATTGAAAACCAGGGAGTACTGGACAGCTGTTGTTTCATCCTAGCTGTTAAGGAATCATCGTAAAACATAACTAATCCTTACAAACCAAACTATAGAAAGTTAATCTGATGTTCGCTAGAGACTTGCTTCAGGTTGGAGTTTCCTGAGTTCTAGTGAGAAGTCGTGACCAGTGAGGTCCAAATAGATGTCACGTGTGTGGATGGATGTCCCACCAACGACAATGGTTGGGGTCTCGCTAAATCACTAATTGGTAGAATTTAGAATTCATGAGCCATTGAATCGGGTCCCAGTGGCTGAATGGTATACGAGCTTGCTGGCCTTGTAACCGGAAGGTCCTTGGTTCGAATCCTGGAGGTGGTTGCGTACTTCCGATGATTCCCAAACTAGGATGAAACAGCCACTGTCCAGTACTCCTTGGTTTTCAATGTTTCTCTAACTGATATCAATCCGTGATCAACTCGTAAAATTATTTCCAATTTCTTTCCCAATGGTTTTTACGTGTAGTCCAAATGAACTAAATATCCTAGATGTTTACCATTCACCTTCGACCTGATGTGTATTTTGTTTATTTATTTAAACGCAGAAAAAAACTTGGTACAATATGACACCAAGAAAGATATGCCACACTAAATTTCATTTGTTGTGTGAGGGCTGAGATTACTGGCTGGGCGCCCAGACCGAAGCAGGTGGTTTTGTTAAGGGACCAATTCCCCCCCCCCCGAGCCTTTGACTTGGAGTCTAATCCGCAAGGCAGCGGAGCAGCGTCAGGAGCTGCATTCCTATGGTTGCCGGTGATCCATATGGATTCATACGCCATTTGATCCGATTGGATTCTGGAGCCCATGTACCCCATGGTAACTGCTTTTAGTCTTTTAGTAAACGCTTTCCAAACAACCTTCCTGACATGATAGGACCTGCAGGGACATGGCTCCCAGCCAGTTTAGCTTGTTGGGTCACTGCGGTACTCAAGCCCGACCACCACGACAAGGTAGCAGTTGTCGGCCGGGATGTGTGGTGTGTACACGTTATGTGAGATGTAACAAACTTTAAATCATCACTGCAGAGTATTTCAAGTCAACTTTAATGGTTTTGAAGTCAGTAGCCAGCCATCCATTGGAGATTTCAGCAATGTAGGCATATTTAAGCAGTCTAACAGCCTCTGGAGAACTCTATAGTAGTGCTATTCATAAGCTGTTTGACCATTATCTTGTCAAACTTGACTCCTCCAGAATTCATACTCACTGAATAATTTTTTTCTTTCATTCTAGGAAGGCAAGTGCATTGAATCACATCTGTACTATTGATTCCACATTGATCAGACAGTGGATCTAACTACTTATGTAGGCATGTGAGCATAGTTACAATACACATCTTCAATATTAAGCATGATAAATTAGTGTAGACATTGTATTCACATGGGAAACAGATACTGTTTTCTGTATTTTTATTTTTGTCAAAGCTCAGGTGAATGTTTTTAGAGTTTTTGTGTTCTCTGATTCGGATACGGTATGATCGTCACTGTGGTTCAACATTTTCACTGCTAACTTCTATATGAAGTTGCACCTTATTTCTCACTTGTAGATTAATGGAAAATTTTGAATGTAAACAAACAGCCTGTTGCTCGGCTTGTCAAGTGAAGGTGTGATCTCACTGGTACTTTCATTTTTAAGTTTGTTCAATTGTATTTGAACCGATTAGACTGTCGCAGTCATTCAATTTTTTTGAAACCTAGAAGACTCCGTTTATATAGATAATATATTATCAATTATTATTCCCTATGGTTCCGAGTGGAACACGCGGCTTCAACAGCCCATCTTCATTTTGGTCCTGTTCTCTGCATTCCTCTTCATCTGGCCTCATGTTTCCCCGTAAGCTTTCATCTCCTTCCCACACGATCTCTTGCATATCACCGTCGGATGGCTAACTCGCTATTTCCCCTGTCGAGGACCTGGCGTGTGAAGTTAGGAGGCGATTGCCTCCTCAACAGGTGTCCGATCCATCGCTATTTCGCTTCAGCATATTTGTTGACAGTAGTTTTCTGGGTTTTCAAGGTTTATTTCACTTTTTGTCTATCATACAACTCTTCTAATCATAACCTGCTTTGACCAACAGGGCTTTTTTATACATCATACATGACTTATCGAGACCTGTTTATCGTCCCCTACTCAGCTCTTCTTCTCTTCCAGCTCAATTTTGGATTTCAGACTCTGCAGATAAATCATGTAAAAGGCGCAGTATTGTCACCGTGACTAAATGCAAATGACATGTTTCTAGGCTCCTCATATACATTTAAATAAGTGTCTCCAAGTACCGGTTCACTCATTATCCATGTGTATTTTGAATAGCTTAGCAACATGTCGTTTACTGTCAGTCAAGATTTTCAAGTTTAATCAGGAACTGACTTTAGTTAGAGAAAACCATTGAAAACCAAGGACAGATCTTGAAGATTCCCAAGCTAGGAAGAAACAGCTATCCAGTACTTCAATGGTTTTTAGTGGTTTTCTAACTGATGTAAGTTCGTCATCAAGCTTAACGGTAGAGAATAATCATGGTGTGGTTTTTCTAGTTAATACTTCCAAAATATTTTTACACAATAAATAGTTACATAAAAAATCGAAGTTGTTTTATCTCATACTTTCTTCTTTTTTTTCTTTTATGCCTTGTATTTTTTTCATTAATTAGTTGAGCGAAAACGACGGGATTATATTAATTCACAAATCGTCTATCTCAGTAGTCTACTTCCACCAGAACTGTATCGGGATGTGTAAGTTTGATATGTCAGTGTATGTCTTATACAGCCCATTTGCAGTCAGATACAGTTTCCCTTTATATTATGAAATCTGCTCATTTGTTTTACTTATTTTATCAAAGTGGATCGAGATGTGAAGTTGAATTCATGCAAATGTAGAATTTGAACCTTATGGGGGGAATATAATAACATATTAGATAAGTTTGTTTGACATAATGCACTACGATACATTATTTGATAACTGGATGAGCGATTATCACCACAGTGCCGATCTTTTTGTTCAACCCCTCATTCTTGCGAATAACTGATTGCAAATGACGAGCCTTTTTGCTGTCACCACTACACTAGCCAACTCGAGCACTTCAGCCTCGAGATATTCATTTAATAGCTGCCAAGTAGACTGGTGGTGGTGGCACAGCAGCGGTAGAATGCTCGCCAACCATGCAGGTGGTCCAGGGTTCGATCTCTCGCCACAGAAACACTCCTTTACCTCGCTAAGCCAGTAATAGGACTGGCAAAAAGGTAAGGTTAGATATGAAGCTAGCAATCCCATCCCGCAAATAAAATAAACACCAATGATATAGAAACTTCAAGCCTCTAGCTTGAAGCCCTATGTTCCACACTGGGAACGTAAAGGAATAATAAAAGAAGTAGACTGGAGCACCAACGTAGTTTCCGTTGTTCAAGAGACGATGTCGACGACCAGTGCAAGTAGATCGGGTTGCCCACCTTTGCTGTAACCACCCACAGTTTAAGTTAGGACAGAGGAATACATTATCCATGCTAGACCATTATGTATTTTATCAAATAAATTTATCTCATATGAAATCTAATTCAGTTGATGATAAGCAAATGAATGTCATTTTATAGTCGCTATTATACTTAGTTCTTTGTACTTTGTCAATAATTATTAAACTTCATCGTTATTACCAGTTTCGTAAAGAACACTATGAGACTTTGAAACTAGTCACCAACGTACTGACTACTTCCAATTCGCTCGATAAATGGTGTCACTATTGAAGCCTTCATGCTTCCTAATAGTTGATGTGTGACCAGTATACAAAGTATGGGTATGTTAGGTTTCATCCCCTATGAAGATTATTTGTATGCTGTAAATCAATGCGCTGTGTGTAGTACTTATCATGGAATGTATTCAATAACTTGATAAGGATGAATAATCACTCTGCGTCCACTTCAGAATATCTTCAGTCATACATTTTATTATTATTTTAAGAAAGTTAACCTTATTGACTATTGTTTCTTTGGGTATATCTATTTCATTGCTATTTTTAAATACTCTGTTTAGTATTATTTATCATGCTGAATCTTATTTTACTTGCAAAGTACACAGAGTACCCAGTGGCTGAATGGTGTATAAGCTTGCCTTGTAACCGGAAGGTCCTGGGTTCGAACCCCAGTTGGTATGTACTGTGGATGATTCTTAAACTAGGATAAAACAGCTGTCCAGTACTCCCTGGTTTTTGGCCTGAGTGGTCTAGTGGATAACTCTTTGTCCGGCTAGCTCAGTCGGTAAAGCATGAGACTCTTAATCTCAGGGTCGTGGGTTCGAGCCCCACGTTGGGCGCCGGTCGGTGGCACAGAGGTTAAGACACTCGCCAACCATGCACTTGGTCCGGGGTTCGGTCTCCAGCCGACCCACTCCTTTACCTCGCTAAGCCAGAAATAATGCTGGTAAAGAAGAAAGGTTGGGCATGAGGCTAGCAACCACATCCTGTAAAATTAAACACTGCTACAGAAACTTCAAGCTACTAGCTTGAAGCCCTATATGCCACTGGGGAACGTGAATATAAGAAAAAAACATTGATTGCAAATGTACCGAAATGTGCATATGTGTGTATGTAAGTACTAGATCATTTTATTCATATTCTATTTGTCTCACTTTTTTATAGAGATGGTCGTCGAAATAAAGGTAGTGTTCTTCGACTATCAGTTAGTTATATCATGGAATTACGTGAAGCTGTATCTAGAATGGAAAGTCTTAAACAAGAAAATACTATAGCACGTCAATTAATCCCTTTACTGTTACAACGTATTGAAGTAAGTTTTTATTGTTCATCTTTTTTTCGTTTAACGATAAACACTGTTTTTACTATTGTCGTTATTCTTATTGCGGTCACTGTTGAGTAGTAGTAGGTCATCACCGTGAAAAATTAGTTTCTAGCCTTCTGTAGCAAAAAACAAACGGTATGAAAGAATGGGAAAGCATTAAAAAGAGGCGTCGGATGTTGTGAGTTACTTACTGGTCATCGTTTTTGACTGTATCCACAACTTTGTACACTAAGATGCTCAGAAAGGATTCGTGTGCTTTTGGAGTGTGTGGGCGGTTGTTACTTCTCGGTTGCCCACACCGTGGAAGTTGATTGATTCTTCGGGTAACTGAAACAAGAAAAGGGTTGGTGTTGTGTCACCACAGAGCTCAGGGGACAACTGCTTGAGGCCGGTCACACACGGCCTGTATGAACTGGTTTCTGGGATTGGTTCCGTATTAGTAAACTTACCGTCGGTTACGGACCACCGTAGGGTAAGTCGTGATGTACAACTTTTGGGGTCGACCTTTTCTAAACCCTCCTCTCCGGAGTGGAGAGACAGCATAGCTGGCATGCTGGTCATCTGAAGGAAACACCTCACTGCTGTTACACCTCTGTTCTCCAGCTGTACGACTTCGCCCTTAGACCCCCAGCAAAGTGTAAGAAAGATTCTTACACAATGCTAGTAACTGCTTTTAGTTTAATCGCTATCCTAACAACCTTCCCGGCATTGTAGGACCTACAGAAACATTGGTTCCAGCCAGTGCAGCTTTTTGGGTCATGGCGATGTGCAAGACCGACCACCATGTCAATGTAGCAGCTATCGGTCGGGTTTGTACACTAGACCTAAAGCTTATTATATCGCTAATTAACTTCATGGTTTTGAGTCAAACTTGAGGCCAATTACTACTTCACTGATATAATCCCTGTGTCTTTTGAGAATGGCTTAGCAACATGTCGTTTACTGTCAGTCAAAATGTTCAAGTATTGATATGCAGAGTTTTGTGATTGATTTCACGTTTGATCACGAACTAACTGACTTCATTTCAGTTAGTTACTTAGTTCAGTATATGAATTCATTATGAGAGTAGATATGTGAAACACTTGGAAGCTTTCTGATAGCACATTGAAAAGGTCGATAAAAAGAGAAATCTTGTCCAATGCTCTGTGCTCCAGAATGCGGAAAATTTTCCCTATCGGTACAGTAATGGATATCCTAGGAAGTTTATTGAACGAAACATTAAGAGAGAGAAACCGCTCCTGGCCAAATATAGTACCAAAGAAGACATTGTTTATGAATGTGGCACTCAAAGGTGATGATTTAGCTGAGGGGACTAGAAGTTGTCTGCCTAAGTGCATCAAATGCTCTTTCTATACCGCTGACTCACATCTGGTGTTCTCCAGATGAAGAAGGATTCGACAATGCGTTAGTGATAAATTACCGCTTATGTTCACCTCTATGTGAGTCACTGACTGACTGATTGGATTCAACATAGAACTTTGCACAGATATGCGCAGCAGGAGTTGCGATTACTCTTCTATGTACATGTTTTCTTTCACCTTCCCCTGTGAGCTGACTACATTTGATGTTATAAGTGTGTTCTGCAGAAGCATGTAGCTGAAAACTAACTGATTTGGTTGATGAAATGCAAGCATAGGATGACGAAGTCGTCCATTTGTGAACACCTCGAGTCGGGTCATTCGGCCCCATGTGATTGATTCACCCTCTAAAGTTATCACCAGGGACAAGTTCAGTGTAAAGGTTTACCTCCTCTCCACCTATGTTGAGCTGAACAAAAACATAAATTATATATTCGAGAACATCTTTTTAGTCCCCTTTCTTTACCTTGGTCATAGTAATGTTCTGTTTTTATTTTGTTCTATTTCATCACTTGAATTAATTTCAAATTAGTTGGTTTGTTGTACCGAACATCTGGTAAATAATACTGTTTCACGATGTGATATTTACAGTAAACAAACTGGTATGGATTGAACTTGCCATATTGTTTATTTGTAAATTAAATAGCAGGTACTAGGAACGAGAGAACTATTATTATTATTATTATTAATACTATTGTTCCCTTGAGTCCTAAGTGGAACACTTGGCTTAAGAAGCACATGACCACTCTCACTTTCTTTTCGACTGTCCTTGTTACGGTTGAATCCACGATTGCCCATAAGATTTCATTTCTTCCTTACACGATCTCCTCTGTGTCACTCTTGCAGTCATGTCCAATTCGTCATTTTCTATCTGGTTTCCAATCGATGGCCCGATTAGTCTGTCTGTCTGTTTTCGACATGTAACACACAAAGAAAGAGAAGAAAGTAAAAAGAAATGCAAAATAGAGACAGTTGACAGGAATATGAGACAAAAGGAATAACGAAGAACAATGTAGTTTTGTTGGGTATTATAAGTCACAAGGAGTGGATGCATCTGCGCCAGCCATTGAGAACGATTTTGAGCCATATCACCAATTGTTTCCAGTCATTGGTTTTCACCGTTTCGAGGGCCCCAACCAGGAAGTCTACATCTTCCTTCGTGGCTGGCTCGCCTAAACTAACTGTTGTGGATTTCATTGACTGATTAAGCCACGTTTTGGCTTGTCCACCACCGCTAGCTCTTTCCCAACCTGACTCTATGTCAGCTAACATTGCCCGTTGAGGAAGGTGATGGCTAGGCATACGTAACACTTGTCCTAACCATCTCAATCGGTGAAGCTTCGCAGTCTCGTCGATTGATTTCCCCTCCTTACCTAGCACTTGACTGATGCCTAACCTGAATATTGCTCACCTTATTATACCACTTCACACGGGAAATAGAACGCAGGCACCTATAATCGAAGACAGCTAATCTTTTCATGTCTTCCACTCCAAATGGCCAGGTCTCACAACCATAAAGGAGGACTGAGCGGACTGTTGAGCAGTACACTCGCCCTTTGGTCGACAGCCGGTTGGATATCACGTCTACCCCAGAGATGGCGTAAACTGGCTTATGCAAAACTAGCCCTCTGTATCCGTACTGAGATTTCGCAAGATATCAACCTGTTGGGGGTTATGGTACTTCCAAAATAGGTGAAGCGCTCAACGTGCTCTACCACTTCACTCCATATTTGTAATCTAGGAGTCAGTGTAGTCCAGTCCTGTAACATACTCTTACATTTGGCTGGAGTGATTGGAGTGTGATATCACTTGATAGTCTTCTTTTTGTATGTCCAATCCATTCCTACTTTCTGCTGAATATTTGTTAGGCAGAAAGGAAAGAATGAAGGTCTCGCTTTGCTATGAGCATAATCAAGATCACATATAGAAATAAGCACCGATTGCTGTGTTTGCTAGATATATTTATGCAAATATCTGTTGGATTTTGATGAGTCAATCAGTTGTGGAAAGCTGTTCTCATTATCCGTGTGTCTTCGTACTGAAAGACAGAGGAAAAAGAGAGAGATATAGATGAGTTTGTTTTTGTCATAATTCTTCATGCTCTTAGCTTTTAACCACCTATGCACATAAAATGTGCAGTAGTCCTCCAATCATTTTAGCAAAGCTCAATTGTTTCATGCACCTTAAATCTGGCTTTTACACACTTCTAATGATATTATTCTGGTGAAATATTAGTTAACGACGGAAACTAGATATGGAGCTTTTTTTCGCCTCTATCATCTCTCCTAATATTATCAATATTGTCTGGATGGATAATAGTAATAATAATGATAATAATAATCATAGTGCATGTATTTATGTCCTCTTTTTAGAACATTGTCTGCGGCTATTTCTCCTTTGTGGTCCAATAACTTACCAGCATTCTTCTGCTTTTTGTTTTTCTATAGTCAGTTTAGACTTTTACAAAATGAAAATCGTCTGCATACACTTTTCCCTTCATAAGTGTGTTTCTCTGTTCATTTATATTCTCTGTTACTCTATCTGTTATGACAATCGTGGCATTCTGTTCTTGAGAAAACAAAACCTTTTAGAGCCAATTTTAGTTGTCTGTTTTCATTCCCTGTCCTCAATTTCACCCAATACGCTTGTCCGTTATTTCATGGACATTCAAAATCACTTCCTATAATATATATATATATATATATATATATATATATAAATATAAATGTTTGTACATATAGTGTCTGTTAATCGTCCATTCTGCACGTTACCTATTGATTTCTAATGACCCAGTTTTTGGATATCCTAACTTAAGCCATCATCATCAACATCATCTTTTGGCATTTATTAGTTTCTGTTATTCACAATCGATTTTCTATAATATGATTGAAGAAAACAATTAATGAATAAAGGTGAGATGATTTCGCTTATTTGTACTTTTGTGTTTTTACTTAAATTAAACAGAGTCTAGAGAAAATGACCTCAGAACCAAGTGGTGTTGACCTGAAATCTGGACAACAGTTACATCATTCTTCACCGGCTAATAATTCTTTAAGAAATTTACAATCACTTGAAGCTGTTTATCAATCATGGCTGTTATTGAATGAAGCAAATCAACGTAGTAATAGCTGTAATGGGGGTGGGGGTGCTGCTGGTGGTGGTGGCAGTGGCAGCGTAGGCGGTAATCCATCAAATATGTCTGGATCTGGTTCACGACATTCAATGCATCCATCACAAACAAATCCTAATGATAATCGTTATTTACATGAGTTAATGATGCAGAATGAAACACCGGCTGACCTTGACTTTAATAGTTCAAAATTACATCCTGTCACATCTAGACATAATGTGAATGTGAAAAGAGAACATGGTGATGAGGAAGAAAGACTTGATGATTGTAATTCAATGTGTTTAAAATCAGATACACGACGTCCAGGCTGTTCATCTAGATCAAGTTTTACTGATCATCCAACCTCAGATAGAATTGAAGAGGAAGTAACATCACAAGATGGGAGTTTTGAAAGCAGAGTACGTTTATGCCTTCTTTTCTTTTTTGAATTTTCATTCAGTCTCTTTGCCTATTAATCATGAAATTATTGTCAGGGATAGACATAATATCATAGATTTCAGTCATTTTTCAGTATATGACGTTTTCATGTTATAAATTGTTAGTTATCTTTGTGCACCGGTGGTTCAGTGGTCAACACTCGCCAACCACACACGTTGTCCGGGATTTGATCCCCAGTCGTCGCACTTGTAAAACCTAGCTGAACCGCTAGTAAGGCTCTTAAAAAGGGAAAGTTGGTTAGCAACTGTCGCCGGTAAAAATAAAGTCACTGCTACCGAAACTTCGGAGCCCTAACGTGAAGCTCCATGTTTCACTCGAAACGTAAAAGAATAAAAAATTTTTTAAATGGTTATCTTTCTGTATGATATCATTTTCGGATTTTCAGCACCAGTGTTAAGTTAGTTTTCCTATGTGTGGGCTAAGAACTTGGCGCTGCATGAAAAGCATTTCCAACAGCCCAATTTGCAGAATTTTATCAACTGAGCCGCCTTCACTAACTCCATACTGACGACCAGATGGCTGGTCGGAAAGAGTTAGCAACAAGAAGCTCTGGGAACCAACCAACGAAGAACATATTGCTCAACAAATATGCCGTAGGAAAGGCACACATTGAGGAGAACGTCAGGTGACATCGCCTGTCAGGCGCTCGAGTGGAACCTGATTGAGAAACACTGAGTTGGGCTCTCAAGAGTGACATGGAAAAGGTAATGTGAAGAGGGGGTGGAAGCTTATGGGTAATCATTGAGCCAGCTGAAAATAGCTTTAGAGAGCGGAATGAAGTGGAGCTGTGCTGCTGAAGCCCTATGCTCCACTAGAAACCAAAGGGAATAATTATAATATGATATCGTTTTAGCCAATGTGCACTGGCGTCCTACAGTTGCTTGTAAATATCACTTATGTTAGTGTAAAAATCAAAAGAAGTGTTTCAGCGAAGAGACTTTTTTCTACGAATTTTTTATCAAGCTGTACAATCGTATATATATATACCTTTAAAGAGGCTGGCGCTATGTAAGGTTGACAGAATGAATCCTATGTTCAATTATTGCGCTTCTTGCAGCCTCACTTCCTTCTCTCTTTGTAAGACCCTACACTCTTTTAGGCAAAACATTTGTCGATCGACTGATATACCTAGCTCGGCAGGAGCAGATGAACCGGTAAACACACGGAGTTAATCAACTGCAGGATCTTGTCCTTTGCGTTACTTATTGCACAATTATAGTCGTCTAGATAACACTGTTCTCAACTGGGCTGCAGTGTATATCCTTCTCAGGGACTGTGATGCATATATGAGTGTGTACATCTTGATAATAAATTCTTTGATAAAATTGTCTCTTCTGTGAAACATTTGCTTTAATTTTTCTATATGTCCTAATATAAATCTCCCAGAAATAAAAGTGTAAATCAGTTAATTTATTATAGGATTGCATCATGAACTGACATTAATTAGAGAACCATCGGAAAACCTGGGAGTGTGGGTCAGCTGTTTCGTCCTAGTTTGGGACTCCTCAGCAGTACGTGACCACTGGTATTTATTGTTGAAACTTTCGTTGAATAGTTAGCTAAATTCATTCTTCTTCTTCTTCTTAACCAAGAAAGAATATATGTTTTTGTTCCATTCGGTATTTTGTAAATAAAATTAGGATATCTGTTTTGCCCCGTCTCACTGTGTTGATTTCGATTTCGTTTCCCTCTATTATATACACTGTGTTGTCAATGAAAATAACACATTCAGTGGTTAGTAGCTTATGACTTTGAAATGAAACTGTTAAAAAGTCAACTCAACAAAAGTGTTTGAATATTTTTAAAATATTACATATTCAATGCGCCCAATTTCAATGGTAAAATATCAAAGTGGCTGGCCACACACACATACATCACTAATGTTATCTGTTTCAGTCCCAGTTTACCAAATATATTGTATCAAAATATTTTTTTCTGATCAGGTGATTTATTTTGTTAAAGTACAAATAATAAATTCGCTTGTTGTTGTTGCTGTTTTTGTTGTCATCGGCGTCGTCGTCTTAAGATGGTGAAATAGCATCAGGCTAATCAGCAAATATACACTCTGTTTTGTTTAAGTCGACCTTCGCTCTTTTCCGTCGACTGACTGAATGAAGCGAAATGTCTAGCTTCTGTCGACATATTGGCTCCACATCGTCGTCGGCCACAAAAGCCTCTTGGTGTCTGAAATGAGAATGACTGAGTTCGAGTATTAATTGGAACACTATAACACACTGGAGATATTGCAGTTATATTGCAACAACAGAAGACAAGGGCCAGGCAACAGATTGTTTATTATGGAAATCAACACATATTTATAGATTTTCATATACATATGATAGATTATTGTTAGCAGGAAAACACAGTCCTCTGATTGGTTGTTTCTCAAATAAAGTTAACCTTGCATCTCTTTGTGGCTGTTTCTTGAATGTCAAATCATCTATATGTTAACTGTATCCGCCTACGCAAAGCCTCTCTTCTCATTTTTCTCACGACCAATATTGGGGACATAAATATTGACGTAAATTACTGTCCACCAATTTTGACTAACAGCCAGCTCTCACCACAATATATCTGGCTGATGAGTCTCAAATAGAAGGAATTACCCCTCCTGACTTCCACTATGATATATACTTTTTACTTTACTTTACTTCGGCTATCTCCTACGGGAGGATGAGCCGGCTTCATGAACGTCTCGAATCATCGCTGCCCAGGCGCGGCGATCTGAAGCAAGGTTTTGTGATAGGGATATCCAATTCTTGTTCCACATACGGAGTCCGTAGACCGTTTGTAGCCCCAGGCACTCCATATCTGCCTTGACTGTACCAAGCCATGTCTTCAGCTGTCCGCCTCTGCGACATCGCCAAGATGGTAATGGCGAGGGATTTAGAACTGATTTGACCAGATCGTCATCTGGTCGGCGCAGAACATGGCCAAACCACCGAAGGCGGCGTTGTTGGACCAGTACTGGAATTTGGTTGATGTTGTAGCAACGCCGACGCACTTCTTCGTTGGAGAGTTTGTCCTGCCAACGAACATGCAGAATGTACCTGAGACACCAATGGTCTAATACCTCGAGTCTGCGTAAATCTTCCGCGCGAAGAGGCCAGGTTTCACAGCCATACAGCAGAACGGGTCGTATGGAAGCTTGGTAGATCCGAATTTTAGTCCTGAGACTGATTTCTCTCTTGCTCCATAGAACGCTCCTCAGCTGTAGAAACGCATTCCGGGCGTTGGAGATTCGCGCATTCACTTCGTTTTTCGCTTGGCCGTTGGGGAGCATTATGGATCCCAGATATCTGAAGGATGGCACAATTTCAATAGGTGCTCCATTTAAGGATAAGATTTCATCATTGCCGGCGGATGTGTTCGAAAACATTTTGGTTTTGGAAGTGTTAATTTTCAAACCGATAGTAGACGCGAGGTGGTTTATCTGGTCGAGCGCCTGTTGCATATCGGGGAAGTTTTCAGCTAACAGCACGACGTCGTCGGCGAATTCGAGGTCGGTTATGTGAATATCGGGCGAAAGTTGGACGCCGTGGTGCTCGGTTAGGGCGTGCCGCAAAATCCAATCAACTGTGAAATTGAACAGGATGGGGGATGCTGGACAACCTTGCCGGACACCGCTGGTTACCTCAAAAGTGCGGGACTCTTCACCGTTCACTCGGACTCGAGCTTTGGTGTTGGAGTAGTATGACCTGAGCAGGTTGATTAGCTTGGTCGGAACTCCGTCGAGCTCCATTAGATACCAGAGTGCTCCTCGATCAACTGAGTCGAATGCCGCTTGGAAGTCGATGAAGCAGGCAACCGTCGGCTGTTGGAATTTGTCCCTGTGTTCCAAAATTCTTCGCAGTGTGAATAATTGATCAACACAGCCTCTTCCAGGTCGAAATCCGGCTTGATTTGGCCTTGTTCGCACGTGGCGTTCGGCCGCGAAGCGGTTCAGGAGAATGGAAACAAAAACCTTAGCAGCGATATCAATCAGACTTATGCCTCGGTAGTTCTCGCATATTGACCTGTCTCCCTTTTTGTGGAACGGTAGCAGAACTGAGGTGCTCCAATCGGAAGGAATGGTTTCGGACTCCCAAATTGAGCCCGATATATGATGGTCAATGTCCAGTCTGGAAATAACCAATCGGAATTTGGCTCACACATAAAAGTAACGCTAATATTTTATCGATTGTGGTCACAGACTAGTTGACATATCCTTGGAGATATTTTGAGCCATACATTATTGTGTGAAATTCACTTTACGTGTAATTGGCGCGGGCCGAGGAAACAGATAGCTGTCGTATAATTTTGTTGACATAGTCAAGTGATAGTCGTGATCAGCGCGTCTGTGTTCAACTCAACTTCATCCCTATTTCAGTCTCAAAGTAGTGCAAAACATAACACACACACACAGTACTAGTCACCATCCACTAAATTTACCTGGCGCCGGGTTCAGGGTGATCAAGAATGCTCTGACCCCGGGTGGAGGCTCACCATTGTATCTCGGTGGGTTGAAACTCTCGACGGACCCTAATTGGGTGCGCTCGGGCGTGTAGTTTTTGTCAGTGGGAAGGCCTCACGGTTCTCCCTTTATATAGGGACGTCGGTGGCACAGTGGTTAGGACTCTCACCGACCATGCACATGATCTGAAGTTCGACCCCTGCCGACGCACACCTGATATCTATGGTCGGCCTGCAAAATTTGGGCTACCGATATCACATGCTGAAAATTTCATACTTGTACCAAAAATACGCTGTGGAATCAAGCTGTAATCCATATAAATAAATAAAAATATTTGTTGAATGCTTTTATTTTGTTCCTTTTCATTTGCTTTTTTGTGTTTCTTTTCTTTTTTTCCAGCCAAATTCCGCCTATGAATGTTATGCTCACAATCTGCCAAGAACTCCACAGTCTGGTGTTTTTCAACAAAATCATTGATGAGCAGAAACATCAGCAGCCTCGGTAGTAGTACACTCTACAATTTTGTCTTATCAATTAGACAGATTGCTTCTCTGCGTTTGTGTGTGTGTGTGCACGCGTGTTTGTACGTGTGGGGTAGCAGTAGAAGTCTTTTGTTTGTTTGTTTGTTGTGTTTTGTTGTTTATTTTTCCTATTTTTCCAAAATGAATCTCCAGATTGTCTCAAAACACGTGGGTGTGGGTGGGCTGGAGTGTTATTTCTTTTTCCTTGATGAATTAAATAACACACCTGTTCACCACCACAACCACCATCACCAGCACACACACACACATATACAAAACAACACACCTACTCAGATATATACATATATATATATATATATATACAACTAGATTATTGTACTATCATAGTAACATTATTTTCCAATTCAGTTACTAGATGTTTCATATACACATACATATGGTATGGTATGGTATATATATATATAGACGACATATAGTTCTTATTTTAACACGATAACAGTTATAATACTAATAATTAATGTGATAATAAAACAAATAATAATATTATTATTATTAATAAGACTATTTTCCAGAGGTTGATTGAATTAACTGATGTTGTACTCTGCTATATATTTGTTACTTTCTACTGGATTTCTTGATACGCACACTTGCCATGTTTCCTATGTGAAGACAGAAATTTTCAAACTTATTATACGATATCCCTTATCTATACGTATATAATAATTACATTACATAACACAGGTACAGTCAAACACAGTAATATCTAAAAGATTCTATTCTAATTTCTTTTTTCTTTTTTTGCCAGCTACCTCAGATGACTTCTTTTTTGAAAGTTCAATTTTATTCCTGCCCTCCGTCTCCTCCTCGTCTTTTTCTTGGTATACACACAAAGATATATATATATATATACATATACAGATATTTGAATATTATAAATGATATCCGCTGTTTAACGGATTATTCCCATTTTTGTGATGTCTCAAACTCTGAGTATCTGTGATTCTCAGGCGCGCCTTATTCATCATCATCATCATCATTGTGCTTCTTCTTTTTGTGAGTTTTCTTCAGGCCCCCCCCTCTCCGGCCTTCCGCCACTCATCTGTCTCATTGTCTTTCGCAAATCTATCTATCTATATGTGCACATGTGTCCACGTAAAGAGATGTGCAGTAAATCAAGATTTCACTATTGTTATAATTATTATTATTACTATTATTATCGTCAGAGTTACTTGTATTCAGTATCATCATTATTATTGCTATTTCTATTTCAGATATAAATATGTGATTCATTCTTGTGGTGCTACTTACACACACACCCAAAACCCTTGCAACTATTCATGATCGATCACCAATTATTATTATTATTATTATTATGACTATTCTTGATTTTCATGTCTATGCTCCTTTTTCTTCTGTCTATTTCTTCACTTCTCTTCGTCGACTTTGTCTCTGTCGAATTACTCTTTAGTGGTGGTCCACTTCTGAAAAAAAACACAGTCAACTCAACACTACCATTAGGATCTATGATTTAGAAAATATTAGTTGATATATATATATGTATTTTATTTTGGTTTTGTTTTTTGGAGGGGGCGGAGCGGATGAGTTATGTTTAATCAGTTTGATCCTTTGTGTGTGTGTGTATGTGAGTTTACCCTTGGCATTTTGTTTTTCCTTTTTTCTCTCTCATGTTCTCTCATGTTTTGGACTATCATTTCTTTGTCCTGTTTCTATATTTCCCACTGTTCACCTTAGTTCTTTGTTGTTGTTGTTATTGTTGTTGTTTTTGTTGCATTGAAGAAGAGTTGAACAGTGGAACGCTCCCCACCCGCGCCTTCCCTTACTCGCATTATCTGTGAAATTGCATATTTCAATACTTCTATACATATATATACATAAGAGAAATAATAAAATAATGGTTGCTATCCTCCCATCCATCCCATTCCTTTTCGCATTCATCAGTCGTTGCCTTATTCACCTTTTTAAAAAAGTATAAAATATACAATAACTGTTTTTGTTTGTCTCGTCAGTTAGTCTCTTATCATTTTGTGTGTGTGTGTGCGTGTGTGTGTGCTTACGTACTTACGCGTGTCGTGGCACTCCAACATTTTTGCGTTTTATTGTTATTTTTTTTGTTTGTGCTGATTCCCATTTTTCTATGTTATTACTGAACAACTTTAGATTATATACAAATATATAAATAAATAAATATGTATTTATTGTAAGTGGTAGAATTAAATTAAAGTGTGCAGATTGTCATACAGACACCAGATCTAGATCAGTCATATGTAGGTTTGTGTACGTGCAGGCGTGTCGGTGATTACACACCAACTGGCACGTTGAACACAACAACTCTGTGTTATCTTGCCCCGGCTGCTTTTTTGTTTGTTAATGTTTCCCTTCCCATTCTCATCCTGACTGACACCCATTTTGATAGGCATTATATATATGCGTATATATATATATATATATATATATATATATATATATATATATATATAATATTAGAGATGTGAGATTTGGTTTTATATATTTCGTTTATTTTCTTTGCTTTGCCTGTTCCACCTTTATATATACACGTTATTTGTTTACAGTTTGTCGTAATTCATTCAAGTATATTTGAAAAGAGAAAAATTAGTGTTACCAGGATATACATATATGCATACATAGTGCTTTTGTCATTATTAATATTATTACAATTATTCATATATATATATATATATATATATATATATATATATATACTACTTACATATTCAGATACAAGATACACAAAAGAAATATGCTTTTTTCTATTATTTTATTTTCCTTGTTATTTTCTAGTGATATATATACATGCATATATGTATAATTGTATAACATGTTGTGGTTTCTACGGGGTTATTACACTATTAAACTTGATTATTGTTTCTCATATGTTTTTTCTTTTCTTGTTTTGGTTAAGCGCCAAAAAAACCTGCTGTCGGCTTTCATTTGAGAGAGATATTGTATTACTTACTATACATGAATGTATTCTCTCTATATAGACAAAATATATATATATAGATATATACATAGTCCTTGGGTATTATTGCACACAGTATACTATATACCAATTTCTACCACAGATTTCTTGCCATTTAGAAAAAAAGATTCAGTTTATTATTATTGTTATTATTTGTTATAATTACTATTGTGTGTGTGGATGAGTAGCCTCTATTCTCATCAGTATCTATACATATATGCGCGTCGAAAGATTCCTCAAAACTGATAGATGGATTCTTGTCTGAAGATTTCCTAATTATTATTTCTTCTAGTATTACATAATTTTTTCTTTTGTTTTTGTGGTGATTGTGCAAATCAGATCAGACTAGACGGGATCAGATCAAATCATAATGGAGAGTACACATATAGATATATGTAAGGCATAAAGTTTGTCGTATAGAGCTTCATAAGGTATAGAGTCAGTGTTTTTTTTGTTTATTAGTTCCTGTACATTATTGGTTATTATTCTTCTTCTTATCATTATTATTAATAGTATTACTATTAAAATTGCTATTTCTGTTGTTATTATTGTTATTAATTATTGAATGAAAGATCTAGTAGTAGAATGAGTGAGATAACAGTACCACCATCACCACCACCAACAACAATAACAATACATAAATCTACATAATTCACAGATATATATATATATATGTCTGTGTACTTCTGCGCACATGCTCACGCACACTCACACACACCAATACAAAACAAAACAGAATAAAAAATAACTAACTGCACACAATATGGGAAGTTTTTGTTTTGTTTAGATTATTATTTCAGATTTACAAACAAAAGAAAAAGAAACCCCCTCCCCCCAAAAAAGAGAAAGAAAACGTCTTTATTTTTCCATGATTTTTCTCTGTGTGTGTGCGTCTGTGTGTATGTGTGTGTTCCTTAAATAATAGATTAATCAACACTTCTAATTCTAGTATGCATAATATTTTCTCACGTTTGGATATTGTATCCCGGAAATTCACTCTATGATTATTGAGAGGGCATCTGAAAATTTGTCAGTGAGATTGACTTGCCGCTTGATATATGTGTGTGTGTTTGTTGTTCAGTGCTAAGGGTTGTTTTGTTTACCGGTTAAGCGGTGAAGCATTTCTTGAACCACTCTCACTTCGTTCATACAACTCCTGCAGTTGATGACCTTACTGACTAGATAGATATATTGAGTGAGGGGGAGATGTTTTGTCGCGTGTGGCAAGACAGCTGCTACAGTAGATATTTCAGCTGTGTAGAAAAAAAAGGTTGGCAGAAGAACACCTTTAGAAAAACCGAACGCGCAACATTTTATATGATTATAGCATTCATTTCAGTAGGTAATTCAAGATTATTTATAGGACCACAGTTATGTGAGGGAATTCAAATCGTAATTGACCGCCTCCATTCTCTACATTCAACTACAGTGAAATAAAAACGCGGCAAGTTTGTTTCGCTATATAATTTGCGTACTCACTCATTACATTAGTTGGAAAAAAGTCATTAGTTTACTGCACAGCACTTATGATGGGTTTTTATCAAGCTAAATGGAATGTTTATATTACAGCATATTTAATATGAATCACTACTCATCTGTAAGTGTGTGTGGAGGGGGACTACAATGTATATTAGGACGCCATATACGTTACCTGTCGGTTGCAACAGTAATGTTGTATATTTATCATACGAAATGTGTTTGCAATGTCTTTCATGTGTCTGTTTGCGTACAAGAAGTATTTAAGTACCGTGGAGACAGTTTACTGTCTGCATTAACTGAGGTACTAGGCAGCGTCTGGGAATCAGAGTAGGTCCCGTCGGATTGGCGTAAGTCACTGATTACTCCCACATACAAGAAGGGAGACAAGTCTTCCTGTGATAATCACAGAGGGATTAGCTTGACTAATATAGTATCTAAAGTCATGGGCTCAATAATATTGCGTAGACTAAGTGGTGCTTGGGAGGCACAAACACGAGAAAACCAGACAGGCTTTA